TTTAATGAGGTAAATGGGCCCGCATATTTTCAATGGCAGCAGTTGCATCAACATCATTATATCCTGCTTAATTGACAAACTAAAAAAAGAAAATCTCGCACCTACTCTTTAAAACGCCACAAGTCGCGAAGCTTGTTTGATAAAGTCCCAGTTGAACATTCAGCAAGATAACACGGACGACGATTAATAACAAATGGTTATCGTCGATTAAACCTTGTACAGAGCTAACCTAAGCGAACTCGACACGAAAGTGCAAAGGTGTGTAGAAGTTCGCTGTGAAAGCTGTGCTCGTGGAATTGCGAGGTTCAAAGAATAAGTCATCGTTACGTAATTTCGAAATAAATGACTTTCGTAGAGTTCTTTGACCTGTCAGAGGGATGTCTATAACTAATTAGTTTGACGTTTGCTGGATAGTTTTTTTTAACTGGCGTTCTTTTCGGAAATTGGGGATGATACTTAAAAGAGTTCCAGGAACGAAAAGAAAGAAGGATTTAACAAAAGGAATTTACGTAATGATGACACATTGTTATTTGATATTATTGTTTTCGGACATCTTTGCAAAAGCACTTAAAGCTTATTGATTGGCCAATCCTATTAAAGAAGCATATGATAGTAAAATATTGAATTACATAGTGAAAAATTGGGAATCTCTGCACATCTTACCTACATATTTTAACATCAGTGTAGTTTTTTCGTATTAGTTATTAGGAATATCTGGTGAAGGTGATAACGTTGCTTAGCAAAATTATAGGTTTGAACCACTGTCGAATACAATGCTCCTCATCATTACATAGTATAAAACAAAGTCGTCCCGCTGTCTATCTGTCCCTAGATCTTTAAAACGGATCTTGATTCGGTTCTTTTACTAGATAGAGTGATTCAAGAGGAAGGTTTATATGTATAAAACATTCCACCCGTGCGAAGCCGGAGCGAGTCGCTAGTCAATCAATAAATTATCCATAACACGAAGTGTGGACTCAACAAACACATTTGCACAATTTAACTAACGGTCAATTCAACCATTGAAACGAAAAAGTCAAGGCCGAGCAAGAGCATTCATTCGAAATTAGAACTCACATGTAAGCATCATTGGACATATTAAGTGATGAAATTTTTGTTTTCATTTCACAGGAAGCCTAGGATTTATTTTTTAACATCCCGCGAAAATTTGATATGAGCCAATATTAAGTCAAAGGCGTTTTAGACACCGAAACCCGCATCCGAAGAACTCGCATTGGCAACTCCCGTTCACGGTCCATTTCGTGATCACATAGTTGTTCCGCAACTTTTTTTAATCGACGTCAACTCCTATTTTAAAAATCGAACTAGCAGATAACATTTAATGTATTAACTTCTACGTTTTTGCTAAAAAGTTCGTTAGCTTATTCATCAATAAGAATCTCCCACGGTATTACCACTCACATTTATCCAGTTGACTTGTTTCATAAATATATTTAAACGTTCTTTTTTGGCGTTCTTATTTAAGGTGGCAATAAAAGCATTAATCTTCACAATTAAGCACCACACAATCCATGGGAGATTTATATAGTTTTGAGCTATGTAATAACTCCCAAAAACGGCATTTCTTCAATTTCTAGCGTATGGGATTATACAAACAAAAATTTCATTAATCTTTTACAATTATGACATTTTTTAAACAATGTGCGATGTTCAACATAGTAATCATTAATTTTAGAAATATTTAATGAAACCCTGAAATTCTAAAATCTAGGATAAACAATGAATTGGATTACTTTGTGCTTGATTCTAATTCTACGAATATCATATATTTTTCAACCCGAACAACTGAATCATCATCATCATTTCAGCCTGTTTGAGTCCACTGCTGAACATAGGCCTCCCCCATAGACTGCCACGAAGTACGATCCTGAGCCACCTGCATCCATCGACTTCCCGCACATTTGCACAGGTCGTCACTCCATCTGGTGGGGGGTCGTCCTGCATCATACAATCTTCGAAAAATGTATAAATCTCTGTTAGTTTTCTAATGTATTCAAGGACTGTAATAAAAAATAATATTAATGACACGGACAAGGATTTTCTTTTCATTTTTATAGTGCATATTTACCAACTTTTGTTACAAACCTGTTTTGACTTCTTTGAATCAGAATTATTAATGTGTTTAGTTTGCAACTGTCTGCTATGACCAAAAAACATACAACGGAATTGATTATAAATAATTATGAGTGTTGGTAAAATGAATGTGGGTGCCCTTTTGTCCGGTATCTATTTAAATAATAATTGGTGAACGGAAAAAATAAACAAAATAAATAAGAGCCAATTTATATTTTGCACATATTCTTACAAAAAAAAAGAACTACCTTTAGAGGTGCTGTGGGTTTTTTTATTATTTATCAACTATAAATACGTATAAAAACCGGCCAAGTGCGAGTCGGACTAGCGCACAAAGGGTTTCGACCATCATCTATAAAAACATCTATAGTCAAACCGTTGAACTTTTCTCAGATGATGGAATCAGAAAAACAGGATCAAAAAAGATTTAAATGGAGCTCCCATACAACAGACATGATTTTTTGCCGTTTTTATAGAATCTTCGTCATTTTAGTCATCTTTTTTTATTGTTATGAATATTGCAGTTTTAATGGCCGATCTGTACCTCATTAACATTGAAGGCCATTAACATTTAGTGGCCGGTAATACATTTGGATATAAACTGCTACTATAAAAATACTTAAAGTATCAGGTATTTTCTGACTTTATCTCAAACGGTCATGTCAATGTTTAAGTAAAACTATTTTTCGAATTTTATCGAGTAAATCAGTTACAATTGTCACAACATGGTATAAAACAAAGTCGTCCCACTGTCGGTCTGTCCCTATGTATGCTCATATCTTTAAACCTCCGCACCGGATCTTGATGCGGTTATTTTTACTAAATAGAGTGATTCAAGAGGAAGGTTTATAATTATGTATAATACATTGCACCCGTGTGAAGCCGGGGCAGGTCGCTAGTACACTATAAAACCCAAAAAATTGTTTTATCTGTAAAAAAGTGAAGTATGCGAGTAAATACAAGAAATAGGTCGTGCTCATTTAAGATATTACTTTAGGTAAGACCGCATTAATTCTATTAATAAAATTATTTGAAATTGTCATTTAACACAATTTTCACGTCCTACTCAGATTAACCGTTATATGTACACGCTCATATTCAAGTCTGAAAGTAGAAGTTATATATTACATAATGCGACAGTGTCGTGATCTCACCGGTTAAAGTTTGATTATATAACTAATGGGAACAAAACAAAATTCACATTTATTGTTTTAGACCATTGGGACACCTTTAAATCATATTAGACTCTCGCAAGGTTCTCCGGCTACCGTCTGAAAGGATACTGATAATACTGATATATCTTAATCACTTAAGGAAACTACGCTGTGAGAGAGCTTTTGTGAACAATATGAACTTCAGACTGATCTCCGAGGTTGCTACGTCATATCTTTTTGACCTCTACACTGGGCAATTAACCTAGCTTTTATATACCGCAATTATATGTGAATATTTATTTTATTATCTAACCTATAGCCAGTGGCCGTGCACAGATAATGGTTGTAGATGTGTTTGATTTTAAGCAGGGCTAACTACGAGCAGGCGGCAAGTCGTAAAACATAGCCAAAATCTCTTACAAAATGATTCGCATCTGCCGACCCACGTAGGTAGGATTAGAAGTGGGATGATGATAACTTTCCAATTTAATGTAGATGACATTTTTATTAAATCCCGTAAAAATCACGTAGGAAACCTTTCTCCGTCCACCCGTTGAAATACTTATGTTCCTTATCTTTATATATAGAAATTTGGCTTCCGTATTTTGGGTCCACAAAACTCAAAATCTAGCTGAAAGATTAACTTGATGCTTATACACAACGTAGCTATTGAACGGGAGGGTATTTTGTTTACTTTTTATTCTGAAGTCCCGACGGGAATGAGTAAAAAAAACCACGGCGAAGCGTGGGCGGGTTCGGTTAACAGTTGTATAAAACTGTGAATAATAGAAAGGGTTCCATTTCAATCAAACATTAACTACGACTCTCATAAACTGCTTCTCCTTCCAATTAACATATAAAGCTGAAGGTATGTTCATTGTGAAGCGGACACATTTTCTGGATAACTGCCTATCTAATTATCGGAGTCAAGGTACGTGCGCATAATTGATAAGTATCGTGTGGAGCACTTAATTACGATTATGCATCCGCAAATTATGGCCACACGCCTTAGTTCCGGTGACAGGACAAGGTTGGGGCATAATGAAATCTACCACTATACAAGAATTGTAACGAGTCGCTTGACATTTAATTCTTTCATAATTTAAGATGCTGCCACTCGAGAATCTTTCTTCACCATCGGTTCTTGGTTCTTCGAGCTATGTGGCCGGACCATTGCCACTTTGGCTTACCAATCTTCCAATGTTTGTTCATTTGATTCCTTGGAGTAACGTAATTATATAATTGTCAAGCGGTTTACTTAGTGACCGCACTAATGAATTTAATTGCTGGATCTCAGGACCTTTAACAGTATCGGTTTAATAAATCAACATTTTAAAAATTAGCAAAATGAACAGTGTCTCTTATTTTAAAAATAAATCAATGTGTGCGAAGAGCTCTCAACTTTAGAGAGAAAATACTGAATACAGAAAAAACAGAACTTAAAAATACATAAGATAGACGATATGGATCTATTTTAGCAATTAAGCAACAATTTTCTCGTGTGAAATGCAATACAATTAGCAATTAGGCAATTTTAAATTATTCAAAAAATTATTTTACTCAGTGTCCAAGAAAAACCATTGTATAAATAGTCACAGAGGAAGACTAAAACTTATACGAGAAATAATTAGAAATATTTAATTATTTGCAGTAATTAGATTGAGAATATAATATATAATGCAGAAAAAATAGTAAAGAGAAGCTGACACCAATTATTCATCTTTAATGAGAAAAAATTATAACTTAGTTACAATGGTGAGATTCAAATATACTACACTATTTAACTTTCTCTTGGGCAAAAAAGGTAAAGTAAAAAAAATGTGAATTTAAAATATTTCTATTAAAGTTTTCTAGACGGAAGACCGTTTTCAAATCCAATGTTGTGATTAATGTGTTTCACTTCATGGATCATTTCTAGATGAAAAGTATTTTTTCGTAACAAATCGTGCCTTTAATGCGAACATCCTATAATGTTCAGTCGTTGGAAGTACATTAATAAACCAGGTGTTTATTCCCATGATCTAGAATAAAAAGTTGTCAATCCCGGGACTCAGGCAACAGAGAATTCGTTTGCCAATTAAGGTCTAGTTGCAAATTGTCACTGGGTGTCAACCACAGCAGAAGCAATCGTCTTGCAGCGTCGTCCCACCGTACTCCGTGCGCGCTTGCAAAAGCGTCTGGAAAAGCCGCGTCTACTCGTAGCGTGAAGAGCGTGCCGTGTCGGAGTTAACGGCTGAATTGAGCAACGGAGTGTCGAAAGCGGCGCACGCGTCGGCAAGGCCGACTGGCCGGTGAGGCCTCGCCGTGTTCGAGCATACGGCCCCTACTTCGTACTCTCGACGCGTGTAAATAACTTCGACTTCTACGACATTTGTGTTACGGCCACAGGGTGTTCTTCTTAGCACGATTGAGCCAAGCCAATTCCTTATTGCAGCTACTGCCCTTCTTAACATGATTAATCCGAACAAGGAAGTGAAACAATCAGATAGAGCGCTAAGAAAAAAAATGTCATAATTTCGCTTTACATCCGGCTAGTGAGGTAACCGAAGGCCGGTAATGCAGCCGCAACCTTTTGAAGCTTCAAACGCCCGTAGTTCGCGATGAACCAACCGCCAGCTCTATTCACAGTACGATACGCTATTTCACTTTAAAAACAAATATATTTCTTTGATAGTCAACCTCTGTTTATGAACAGATAAACATCCATCGCTATTGAGAGTCAATATTTAAAATCCTTCCAAAAAAGGCCTTTGATTATTTTTCTTAACGTTTATATTTCAATAATTTCTTTTATTTTTAGTTAAATTTTTGTTGTGTGCGTCCTTTTTTGATAAACAAATTTATTTTCTTTCTTTCTTTCAATAAAAAATATTGTAATTGAAAGTAGATACCCTCAAATTCCTAAAATTTCGCGTTTATTAAAAGAAGTCCCTCAACCTTAATTTAAGCAACCAAAGGAATTTAAACCACGCAGTAAAAATTATGATAATTTATAACGAAGGCCGTTGAAGTAGGTTGAGCCAGGATATTCGTGTTCCGTTTATCCATCTTATCGTAATATGTCACGCATGAGAACTTTAAATTAATAACTTTGATATTTTCAATATTAAATAATAGAACTTGTTTAAAAAAGCGACACTTTTGAAGTAAAACTTCTTTAGGCGCGACTAGGGCGTAACTCAGATTTTTTCTGACGGAAGTAACGTCATAAGTATATTATGTCATATTTTTAAAATATGACATGTACACACTTTTTTTTGACATAAAATCCAATACAGATCATTCATATGAAATATGACGTAAAACAATGAATGTTTTAACGATCCACTCGAGTTTTAAACGAGAACAGGTGGTAGCACTTCAAAACTTTAAAGCGAAAATACTTGTTCACTTCGTTTTTGTTCAATGACATGGTGGAGCAGACAATACAACCACTATTGCTATATTAGGGAACATTACACATTACCTTTTGCTGGTAGATCGATAATATATATATATATACACATCCGTATATTGATGACTCCGTGGCACAGTTGCCAAGGTATTGGCTTCGGCGTCGGGGGTCGTGGGTTCGATTCCCACACGGGACAACTATTTGTGTGACCCACAGGTAGTTGTTTCGCATCTGGGTGTTTGTCCGCGTGAAAATTATGTTTGTAAACGTCCCTACAACACAGGATAATGTTAATAGTTCCTAAAGTAAGGGCAATGTTAAAAACAATATATATATACACTCACAAAAAGCACTTACACAAATTTTCTCATTAACAGTATAGATGATAATAAAATTATAATTCAATTTAGATTATATTTCTGAAATTAGAATTGCTGCAGATAAATAGAAATTAAATTGTAATTTTATTAGCATCTGTAATACTAGAATGAAAATTCGTGTTTCTTCCCTAGTCCGTGTTGTATGTAAGTTCTAAAATTACAATGCACACACACTACGCCTACCAACACAATACCGATCGTAAACTTGCGCCAGCCACGCCGCCGCCATTATCGATTCGAGGAGCGTGCCACAAGGCTTTTGTGTCACCACGAAAGTCAACGATTCCGGAGCGGTGCCGAGCTCTGTGCACGCGCGGCCCACAATGACGCATTACCATGTCGACAATGGAAGGGTGACGCGTAATGAAAGTGCTCGAAGAAAGTACGCGATCTGCACCAAGCCGACATCGAGGGGTCTTACTTACTGTGCACTTTCACGAAACGCTATGCCGGTGCGTTCACTTTTCGCGGCGCCTTAAAAATTAAATGATCCCGCTGCTTTGAATCCTCAAACTTGGCTCTTGGGTCCAAGTTGATATGTGCTTGCTTAAATCAATGAAAAATACTGTCCCAGATCTCTCTTTTTTTTTTGTATTAGTACGTGGCAAGCGAGCCAGGTTCACCTGATGTTAAGTAATAACCGCCACCCATAGACATTTGCAACACGCGGAGGCTCGCAGTCCTGACCCCGAAACTCAGACTCAGACGAAATGCAGAAGTTTAACACTTCCACTATACGCTGATCTTCTGTGAGCTTGTGCTATTGCCTGGACGGACCTATACATTCCAAGGTCTACCTCAAATTTAGCTTTCCGGGTCAAATAAGGTCATATTCGCTTTGCATTTGAAACATACTGTCCCAGATCTCTTGTCCATTACTTAAGTTTTATCATAACGTGCAGAAACAATGAGGAACGACAATAAATGTAATGTGTAAGGGTTGAAGCCGAGAGGTGTGAATTCATGTCTAAAACGTTATATAATAGATTAGATGTTGGTTTTTGTAATAGTGTATTAGCTTTTCCAACTTCTGTAGATGCTAGAACACTATATAATATTGTTCAAAAATGTTTAAGCAGGCGCTAATTTTTTGTTTAAGTGTTTATGTAACTAAGTTTGTACTATGAGGGTGATATTTACCTACTTGTGTAAAAACCCTATTTAATAAAAAAAAAAAAAAAAACGACAATAAATGTATTTTGTCGCATAAGGATTTTCATATAAATATTTGTAAATGTGTAAAGTGTAGGTAAAATATTATGTATTCCCAAATTAAAAAATCCCAGCCGTGTGGTGTCGGCCTAAGAATAAGCCACCCTATCTCATCCCGTGGGTGTCGTAAGAGGCGACTAAGGGATGAGCCACAACCATCCGGTGGCCTCCGATAGATGGCGGGATAACCGTCTTAATTTTCCAGAACCAAATATTCAGGCCAAAAACGGGCAACACCGTTGAAGGTGCGACGTCTCTGGAACAACTGCCCGCTCGCCAAGCGTGGCAACTATGGCAAAAACCCCTCAACTATGGGGGAGGCCATATGTTCAGCAGTGGACTCAAACAGGCTGAAATGATTATTATGATGATGATATTAAATAACTAAATTTGAAAAATGAACACATATTCAAATGATCCAAGAAAGCTTCGGTGTAGGTTAAAAGTAAGTTAAACGCAAAGAACAACCTTCCTGAATTCGAATATTGGTGCACTCTAGTGCACTCTAGTGCAGTAGTAAGAGAAATTTCTACAAATTCCCGGTGATCCAGAGACGACCGTAGAGGTGGCCGTTAAAGTTAATCAAATAATATATAATTCAAGTAAAGTAAAGTTGGCGTAAAGTTAGACAACCCGCACTAATTGGTTTGTAATTGAATATTCATGGCTGTGTAAAATTGCGAAACTTTCTAACAGGCGCTCGATTTAACTCGCATTTAGATACGGTTCATGAGACGGACTTTATAACATTTGCGAACTTATAATAAGAAATACGATAAGTTTTGTTGTGTTTCCTTAATAGAGTTACGGAGTACTGAGAAATTACTTATGCAAATTAATGCATAAAAGTAAATAAATACAGGTTTGCGTCAACCAATTAATTTCCCTATTTTTTAATTAATCTCATTGAATCCTCAACGATTCGAATGATTTGCAGCTCTCATGGTTAAGAGGCGCCCATTAAGTCCTTTATTTTTATTTTCCTTACTCTACTTCATCTTTCAATGGACCAATAGCGATTATTTACTACCAATCACGTTAATCTCAACTAATTATATCGTGTAGGTAATACGAATCATAAAAATTTAAAATATAATTCATCTGACGCAGCTGATAACTTTCCGTATCACACATGTTAGCTATACTTTTTTTATCGAGCTTTGAAGGTAGAAATATAAATAATTTTACCAAATCACCGTAGTTTCATTTTGCACAACAATAACACTGGTATAATTACTTATTTTATCACTTTTATACTGAAGAAACACAACTAACTCTAACTATTTAATCTGTGATACTGACTGGGCAGCACTATCGTGTATACTTTTGGTTTGACAGCCAAAGAAGAAGACGAAGACCACGAAATTCTCATTGCAGCTTCGTTTATACCTCACAGAATGACACTTCTTTTAGTGTTGCCAACAACTTTAAGGAATGACTTTCCTTAGTGTTACCAACACACATAGGTTCGATTTCCATAAAGGATAAACATTCTTACGAACCATCTACATTAAATTACTATGTACTAAACCATCTCCAAACGAAGAGAATGTAATCCTACATATTAGGTTATGTATTTAGTACCTGGATGACTGAGCTTAGCTGCTGGTTTTTTTTTCTCCCAAAAGAAGGAACTTGAAAAAAAGGGAAAAATCCAAAAAAAAGAAAAAATTCATCTGGACTTGTACCGGGGTCTTCTGGTTTCGGGACTGCCCGATTTCCCACCTGAGCTATTATAGCTTTGTAAATAGTGGCGAAATTTATTCGTAATGATATTGTAGAATATTTTCGTTTCCTGCAAACATGGATAACATAATGTTTTCTAAAAATGAAACCAATTTATCGCCCCCAAACCACCTACATACTTCTTATAAATTCGTTGGAGCCGTTTCCGAGATTCAGATTATGTATATAAACATATACAAGAATTACGTTTAAAGGTTCATACCTTTAAACGTTGTGTTTTATATTACTTGAATCTATCTAATGATAGATTAAAGTAATATAAAACACATCGTAAATATGAATGAATAAAACAACGTTCTCTCGAATCTTCTCTATTACCTAACATAAGCATAAAACGTTACAGGGTCATTATGATGTGGCAAGTGACGTTGTGACATTGTCAAATAAATCTCACCGAGATGATTATGTCATCCACAAAGCCTCAGAAGTTAAAAATCACAAAGGTCACTAATGCCAATACGAATTCTAGACAAGCTTCTTTTGAATTTTTTTACGCTTATCTCTTTAAGAACGTGTGGTCTTCACTCAAAAAAAGATAAGGTTATAAAATATTTTTTTATTCTGTTTTTATTATTTGTTGTTACTGCGGCAACAGAAATATACAATATGTGAAAATTTAAACTAACTATGACGGTTCATGAGATACTGCCTGGTGACAGACGGACAGACAGACAGCAGAGTCTTAGTAATAGGATCCCGTTTTACCCTTTGGATATGGAACCCTAATTTTATGTAAAGGGTTGACAGTGGTATGGCCACGAACAAATTTTGCACGAATGGACTGGCCCATTCGTGCAAAATTTGTTCGGAAAATATCAGGGCCTCACAGAGTGATGTGGAAGTATTATACTTTTGTGCTCCGTCTGTTGCATCTGCAGTTCTCTTATGTGAAAGTAAAGAAGAGAGAAGAGCGAGCAGGTGGTTCACCTGATGTTAAGTGAATACTGCCGCCCATGGACATTTGCTACACCCGAGGGTTTGCAGATGTGTTGACAACCTTTTGAAAATTGTATTCTTGGACAAGGCGGCCTATTCATGTAATAATAACAGGTGCTTTAAGACTCTACCACAGTAGGATCGTCAATAGTTTTAATGCGCTTATATTAATTTCGTTACAAAATTTATCTGTATGTCTGAATGAAATGGAACCTTTAAATTTTCACCAATTTCTAAACAACGGGAAACACATTTGAAAATTTTCCACCACCAAATGAAAAAAAAAAAATGAACTGATGTTTTGCACAAAAGAAAGAACTTTAAAAAAAAATGGAAAAAATAAAAAATAACAAAAACGACAAAAAATTAAAAATAAAGAAAGCAATGATCTCAAAAGATCAAAAAAAAGTAAAAAAATAAATGTGTAAATGATGTGACACGAACTACGGCCTTCTGTTTCGGGGCTGCCCGATTACCGACCGAGCTATTATAAAATTACAGAAGAGAAGAAGTGTTAAATAAACAGGGGAATAAGTACTTAATATTGTAATGGTGTACAACTAATAAACAATTTAATTAATAAGAAAAGAAGTAAGATACTCTTGGCTATGGCTAAATGCTGCTAAAGAAATGATTGCACGTGCAAATAGTAACAATTGTGTTAAAAACGTCGATGTCAACCAACTGGGATGTCCCGTTGTATAATCAGCAAACCATCATCAGTTAAGATTTTTGTTACTTTTTTAAGCATACTACGTTCTGCTTTAAACATACCAAAGTCCTAGGAATTTATCATCACCAGTTGACTTCTCCAACAACGATGCGTACCTCAACCAATAGGCATCAAATAGGAACACCAAATCCTACACTTCAAACGGATCTGCGCAATTGAATCTTCCGGGAGGTACACTAAGCCACAACAATTTGCAATGATACGGTACCATCGTAATACAAAACCGTCTCTGTTACGAAATTAAACGGGCATTGCATAGTAAGTATGTTCGCCCTTAAACGGCGAGCCACTGTTAGGCAACGAATTGCGATTTTGACACTAACTTCAAACGGTTGCTTCATTAACGACCGGTTAACCGGCCTGTAACACATGGTAATACGGGTGGAAATCGCTGAATGTCTTCAATCTCAAATCCAAAGGTGATTCTAGGTTATTAAATAGTCTACGTTTTAAAGGCTTCTAAATGTAAAGCTAGTTTTGATACCATCTAAAGACTTAAAATATTAGCGTATTCAATGCTTAGTAATGAGATTTTATTACTTGAAAAATCCACCATTATAGAAAATCGAGTCCGATAGAGTATTAAAATCAGATAATTTGTTCAAATATTCAATTTAATATTTACTTCTTAAATGTTGTAATTTGAAATAATCTTTCTGAAATTTTTATATTACCGTGGATTTAAATTGCTTCCTTCACTAATGTCAACTTTCACTGTAATTTTGCCACTTGATAAAAAAGTGAATTAATTACGAAACCTGCATACTTTTAATTAAAATCCTTGATGGCTTTGAAAAGTGTTAAAGCTGCTTACACATGATAGCTTGATTTAAAATCTACTTTAGATAATAAACGTTTTGTCTAAACTGTGCAGAATATTTATCTTAAACAGAAAGATGAGGGAGAGCCCGGAGAGTAATATTGTTAATAAAACAAAATAAACGTTACTAGTAAAATATTTCAACTACGAATTAATCTTAATCAGCTTATAATGGCAACCGACAGTCCGGGTTAAATTATTGCTGATAAACCAAACAAACGAACCACTACTGCAAGATAAGGTGAAATTAGCACGTTCTATATAGTTTGACAAAAAATTAATAATTTAAAAACTTACGGTAGCCCAGACTAACAATGACATTCAGACGTCCAACGCTTCAGTCTGTCCCGTGGCTATGATATAAAGGGTTCGAAAAGTCGGAAAATAAAACTCGATAAATCCGTAAACATTTCGTTTAGTAATTGGTACCGGTATTAAGAGCTAGAACCCACCCAGTATTATGATGTACTAGCCACTGACGCCTTTGTCTAATCGTTATGACTGTATCAATTAAAATGAATCACACCATGAAGTAGATCAAGGTAAGTTTAGAAGCCGATGCATAATTCATGCATCTCGTTCCCACACATTAAAAACTGATAAATTAGTATCGGCTCTGTTACAATTTCCCGTCTTGGTTCAGGTTATGGAAATGGTTACGTGTATCGAGCGAATAAAATTCAAATGTGTAACGGAAACGAGAAATATATACACGTATGAATACTTAATAACAATGTTCAAACACGTAATTTATCATAAAATTGTTACGTTTAAAATAAGCGTGTTCACGGCTAATGGATGATTGATTGATGTTATTCGTTAAAACTGTCAATTTTGACAATTTAGCAACTAAAAACGCAGTAAAGTTTAGCATAATGACAGTGATTAGCTATTTTCCATATCCTAATCTACTTAATACATGCATGCATCTTTTCAGATTTTGGGAGCTAGGTGCTATTACGACATTTTCAAACTTTAAATTTGAATTACCTGTCCATCAAACATTTTTCACTAACCATTATCAGGTCAACTGTTTCATTAGTTGCTCACAATGCATTTGATTTAAAGTTTTCGAAATGAGCATCTGTTCTGGTCACATAGAAATGTTGTGTAAAGTATGG